CCTCAGGTAGTCGAGAGGTGGCCTTCATGTACGCCATCTCCTCAGCGGGGGTGGTCTACACGCTGGCTCGGGCCTGCTCTCAGGGGGACCTGGACTCCTGCTCCTGCGACCCCACCAAGACGGGCTCGTCCCGGGACTCCCGAGGGTCCTTCGACTGGGGGGGGTGCAGCGACCACGTGGAGCACGCCGTGCGCTTCAGCCAGGGCTTCGTGGACGCCAAGGAGAGGAAGCAGAGGGACGGGCGGGCGCTGATGAACCTGCACAACAACCGGGCCGGCAGGAAGGTACACCATTGGTTTCTACCTGATGTGTTCTGTTCTCCTGTTTGTTCCTTTCGGGACTCCACGTGGTCTGTGCTTATGTTAACCTAATGTGTGTAACTGTGCTGTTACCATTCTTGGGCCGGGACTCTCTTGAAAAATAGATTTGTAATCTCAATGAGACCTATCCTGGTTAAATAAAGGTAATAAATACAGATGATACTCTCCCGTGTAGGCGGTGCGGCGCTTCATGTCTCTGGAGTGTAAATGTCACGGGGTCAGCGGCTCCTGCAGCGTTCGGACCTGCTGGCTGGCTATGGCCGACTTCAGGCTGACCGGAGATCACCTGAAGAAGAGGTACAGAGGCGCCGTGCAGGTGAACGTCAACCAGGACGGCACCGGCTTCACACACACACACACACACTTCAAGAGGCCCAGCAAGAACGACCTGGTGTACTTCGAGGACTCGCCGGACTACTGCGTACGAGACCACGAGTCAGGTACTCATCTGTAGAGACTATGATAATAATAATAATAATAATAATAATAAAGATGTATTTGTGTAGCACTTTTCATACAGCATGCTTTAACAACAAGGAAGAGATCAGAAGGAACAGGACATCACATCAGGCGTTAAAACCTTTTAGCACGATATATATATATATATAAAAACACAGCAGGGGATCAGAATCCAAATGTCATTATGTTTTACAGAGAGGTGAGCATGTGGACGAGAGGCTATAACATGCAGAAGAAAGTATCAGACTTCTGAGAGAGAGAAATGTGTGTTTATGTAAGAGGCTGTGAACAGGACAGTGAGTTTAGGAAGGAACATGTTTGTGTATGAAAAGAGAGTGTGTGTGTGTGTGTGTGTGTGTGTGTGTGTGTGTGTGTGTGTGTGTGTGTGTGTGTGTGTGTGTGTGTGTGTGAGACAGGCAGCAGATGATCCGTGGTGATCGGGTGTCGGCCACTTTAAGAGCCATTACACACTCCTGCAGGCTGAAACCTTAGAGCGCCACAGATCACTATAAATCACCTCCACTGGACACACACACACACACACACACACACACACACACACACACACACACACACACACACACACACACCTGAGGGCATATTTGGGAGGCAGGTTGGATCACACAACACTTTACAATACCATGGTTTACAGTGTGTTTTGTGTCGAAGGCAGACGCTTCTACAGAGCCCAAAGTACTATAATTTTAGTATTTCACATTTAATTGAATTCTAGAAAGACGGGACATCTCTGATCTCAGGGATAAGTGTTTAAAAAGCAGGCTCCTTTAAGGACATTTAGCTACGGACACACGATGGTAGTTTCAAACTGCACGATATATCGTTTCAGCATCTAAGTTGAAATGTTAGCTTGAGCAAAAGTCAAATTGCATGACTTGCAATTTAAATCAACACAAGCAGAGATACTCAGAGTGTGTTGCTCTTTGAGGACATGCAGGTAACACAACCTGAAAATGAAATAAATCAGAAGAATATATTTGGTTGCAAGAAGAAACAGTATTTACCAACATTGTGCAGCCATATTGAGAACACAAAAAAATGTTTGCTAAAGATTAAGAGAAAGCTCATAATTTGTGTTAAAATTCAAAGTGCATTTGTCAATATGTCAACTGTTGGTTTGAAGTTGTGCGATTTTTTTTTTAAATGACTCAATAAATGGGCATGTTATCCATTCATACTGTACGCCATTTTGTAACACTAGGCTGCATGGGAACACCCACCATTATGTCAATGCTTTGTATACCTTATTTCTTACAGACGAGGATTAGGGCCACGTGTGAATTCATTTTAGATCTCTGGTAGAATTCAGATTTTTACTCTACAAATAATAATCACATGTGGCCCTAATCCTCTCCGTCATTTCTCCTTTAATACATCTGCTTGGAAGTGCAGTTGAAAGTGCATGCTGCTAAGTGAACGATGCGTTCATGTGCACATTGTCCCATGTTTTTGTTCACGCTGCCCAGTTTTTAATATTTATGTGATGGTGGAACACTGTGTTGAATGATGGAGCTGCAGCGTTTGCACGTAGGCTGTATTTCACTCTGAAGGAAGCGTTGGATGTCTCAGCGAATCAAAGCTGGGATCGGTCTGTCACGGGACGGTGTCATGTACTCAGAGTTATCAGAAACCGTCATGGTGCCTTCAGGTGCTTTCAGGAGAGTTGTATGACCTCCAACAGTCTCACTTTAACCTGCTGTTTCTGAAGCATGGCTTTCATTTAAAGTGGAGATAAAAGTCTCTGAGCTTGGAAGTTATTTCTTGATCTTTGGGAGATTTTGACTTCATCCCACCGTCTGCTCAGGGGTTGTTTTTATAGATATTATACAAACACACTGCTACACACACACACACACACACACACACACACACACACACACACACACACACACACACACACACACACACACACACACACACACACACACACACACACACACACACACCCTACAGTACATGGAGCTTTTTATGAGCTGCATTAACACACTTTCACACCGTCCACACACATACACTTGGATATTTATATGTGAGCACACATGGGCACAGGGGTCATAATGCTTCTACTTTGATCAGTTTGTTGCACAGCCATAGAGGTTTAATTGTCAATGTGATATTCAATTTCTATTATTTACAACCAATCAGCTGCTTTATCATCTTCTTTTTCACACACATGATGCCAACAATTACTGAAGCACACATGCACACTTACATACCACACACACACTTACATACCACACACACTTACATACCACACACACACACACACACACACACACACACACACACACACACACACACACACACACACA